CACTCACACACACCCGTGCACTCACACACACCCGTGCACTCACACACACCCGTGCACTCACACACACCCGTGCACTCACACACACCCTCGCCTACACACACACACACACATTCACGCACACGTTCCGACACACACAACCCTCCCACCCCCCACACCACTGAGTCTGCCCTCTGAACCAGCCCTCCACGCCTCGACGCACTCACTGTTGAAAGGGTTGACGTTCTTGTTGATCCGACTCTGAATGGCCATCGCCACCTCTCGCTTCTTCACGCACTGGATGCCCAGGTTCTGGAAGCTGGAAACACACAAAGGTTGGCAGAAAGAGGCTGGCATATGCCTGTGGAACAACCCTGCGACCTCCTCCTGTGTGAGCCCCCCGACCCCCACCAAACCCACCGAGCACTCACCTGTGTACACTTCTCTCTGGCAGGTCTGCCTCATAGTAGCCATCTTTGCAATCCTTCCCCACCAGGTCATGGGGGTGAGGTTTATATGGCTCCTTCTTTGTGACAAGACAGATTCGGATCCTGGCCGGCCCAACGTAGTTGACGATCTGAAAGGCAGAAGCTCGAGGTTTGAGAGAATGTATGGGAATGCAGGACCCTTGGAAGCACCAAGGATCAGAGGGACCATGATGCGCATGTCCACCTGCCCCTTTAGGTAGGTTAAGTCGTTAAGAGGTTCCTTTATGATAAGGGGCACAGTGGTTCAGTGGTTAGCGCTGCCGCCTCACAGCGCCAGGGACCCGGGTTCAATTCCACCCTCGGGCGACTGTCTGTGTGGAGTTTGCACATTCTCCCCGTGTCTGTGGGTTTCCTCCGGGTGCTCCGGTTTCCTCCCACAGTCCAAAGATGTGCAGGTTAGGGTGGATTGGCCGTGCTAAATTGTCTCATAGTGCCCAGGGATGTGCAGGTTAGGGTGGATTGGCCATGCTAAATTGTCTCATAGTGCCCAGGGATGTGCAGGTTAGGGTGGATTGGCCATGCTAAATTGTCTCATCGTGCCCAGGGATGTGCAGGTTAGGGTGGATTGGCCGTGCTAAATT